CTTGTGTTTTCCTCTGTGCAATGAAATAGAACCTTTATTGTTAAGTAAAGTATTGGTAACTAATATTTCTTTTATTTATCTTATCCCTCTCAAAACTTTCTAAATAAATATAATCTATATAACCTATAGCACCTCTTAGAATCATACTTTTCTAGATAAAGAAAAAAACAATAATTATAATAATAATACAAATTTTCTAAATTTGATCATTTATGACAGATATTTCTTTGATGATTCGCAAAAAAAAACATAATATTATTTGTCAGACTTATATCTTTTATTAGTGAAAAGATTAAAAATGGAGGTACCCGTAAATTGTATTTAAAATTCCATCCTATAAATCCTTGAACCTTGAAGTAAAGTATGATTTAAGAAGAATTTGTGGATTTAAAGTCCAGTGTAAAATATTGATATTGCTCAACTCACCTTTTTTTCTTGATTTGGAAAATTAAGAAAACTAAAAAATGGAAAATAAGGAAACCCTGTATGCACTAAACTAGCATAAAAGAAGAAGGTTTAAGCTGTGCGACATTACTGGTGGGACTTTGTAATATCGTAGCTCCTGTAGTTTCGATTTTAGGCACAAGCAAATGTATCCGGTTATATATAAAAAAATCATTTTTAATAGCACTTCAATATGAAGAGTTTTGATTGAAAACATTTATAAGATTTTAATCTTACGTTGAAATTTAATCGTTTAAGGATTTAAATTTAAAAAGCATTTGTCTTCCTTTTCAATCCTAGTAAATTGTAGAACGTGTTCCTCATAAAATGATAAAATAATATTCGATAATTTGAATATTTTTAAATCTAATTCTCTATATTTGTTCTCTGTATTTGGTGTTTACTGTTTATCTGTGTGTATGTATGAAGGAACGGAATTTATTGAATTTAAAAGCCCATGAATATTCACGCGTAATAATCAGGGCATTATCATCCTCAATATTTGTAGATTAGTGACTTAAAATGTTGATGCATCGTGTCCTAATGGTTATAGCTAATCTTGACGCACTGATTTCTATCATTCATATTTAGATTAAGCAAAACACATTGGGTTTCCAGGATTTTTTGGATCGATTTTGGTAATTTCATTACTAACTACAACCCCCCCTCCCCTGCCCCCTATCCCAACCCCTTTTCTTCTTAAACTCGTGCTTTTAACCAAAACTTGTATTCTTTTTTAACTTAAACATGAATCAGAATTTGAAACTTTCAACTTTTAGAAATAAAGATTTTCTCATCTTACCTAAATAGTAAATCCTTTAAAGTCTGTGGTCCGCTTTTAAAAATTACATTTTCTGAAATATTTCAACGTTATAAACCATTTTTAACCCTTTTTTAAAGTCCCAAGGGCATTTTAAACATTAAATAAATGAAGTCCCCCTCCCTCCTCTTTACTCAGTAATATGTAGTTAGTATTCAAGAGACAACCCTCTCTCTACACGAGCTTACATTGCTTCCCTTCATTACCAACCCCCAAACTGTATATACAGGGTGTCCTCATTTTATTTAAAATGTTTATGCAAAAAAAATAATCAAAGATTAATATTAAAATTAAAAGATTAAAATACATATTAGTTTAAAAAAGGAATGCATAGTCTTTGCCACAAACTCCGATTTTCCAATCCCTATTTCTTCAAAACTTAGATTTGATTTAGCATAGATTAGGGATCGGAAAATAAGAGTTTGTGGCAAGGACTTAGTTTTGTTTGCAAATATGTTTTGCCCATTTTTGGTATTGGTGTGTATCTGCTCTACCACTTGTTTTATTTCCTCTTGGAAATACGTTGCCGAAGAACTCTTCAACAATTTAAAACTTGTCAAATCTTCTTTTGAAAATGCGGATTTTAAAATGAGAAATCAAATAAATATTTTTACAAAACTTTAATTGTAAAGTAAAACAGTTTTGATTTAAATGCGCAAAACAAACAATTTGATCTTTGAACAAAAAAATCTGCCAATATCTAAACGTTTCCTCAAATAAAAAACTTAAGAATTAAACAAGAATTTCTTAAAAATATTGTTTAACTATTTCAGTCGTAAAACAGGATTTCAAAATGTTTGGAATAGAAACAGATGTTTCTATCAGAAAATAATCTTGGAATTAATCCAAGGAAAACTCTTTCCGAAAAGTGTTAAGTTTTAGCATTCACAAATCACGATGCTTTCATTGTGCTAGATAATACGGGGTGTTCATTTTGCTAGATAATACGGGGTGTTCATTTTGCTAGATAATACGGGGTGTTCATTTAATAATGTGAGAGTATTTAGATCACATAGATCCATTGTGCTATGAAAAGTTGCATTCATTTTCAAGCCTGGGTTTACTTTGAAGTGTCATAACGCCATTGCCAAAGAATTTACCTTACTATAGCTCAGTAATACTTTTTTATCCCCAGGCATATACAGTTTATAACTAGCACTTGTTTTCAGCTATATTACAATGAAAACCAAAAACTCTGTAATTTTGACTTCAAAATTCGAGTAATGTATTTAAATAGTCCAATGAACATGATGCACATCAAGTGTGCAGTGTAAACAGACCCATTTCACTTAATAAGTGATTTAACAGCTTAATAGTAAAGCTATTTGCTTTGTAACAACATCATATGCACTTTAGTATTGCTTTAATGTCGTCTTTCTATTCTACAGTTTTCTAGTTATCATTGTGAAAGCTTGGAATCTATTGATCACTGTGCTGCTGTGAAATGACGTAAATATCGTCCTTTTGATTTTAAGATTAACCTCAATTCCAATATACGGTTTACAAAAATTATTAATTTAAATAAGAAATTAACTATCTTGTCTCATCAGTGAAATATATGGTTAACCCTCTTAAGGCATGATAATAATTCATGCAACGACATCCCGCTAATGACCCAGCATGCAATTAGTAGGCTGCAGCTCATTTGCAGCTGGGTAATTAGTTTAGTATTGAAAACCTATGATTAACAAGGTCTTTTACTTCCGCGAGAACTAATTATCATTTCAATCCGTTTAATCANTCGGGAATAAAACAAAAAGTTTCTCTAATCCTTGGATATAAGGAAATGTGTACGGTTACGTTTCAAAAAGTACTACAGATTACATTTAAGAAAGCTTAGAATTTTTTGAGGGTCAGTTATAAGATTGGAAACAGATATATAATATGAAAAAGATAAAACAAGAAAAAGATTTTTTTAATATCAACAGGAAAAATATCTTAAAATGTGTTTTAACATTATTTTAACAAGAATGTCTGAATTCTTTGAAATCTAAAGATTTACCAGGATAAGCTGGCTCCTTTGAAAATTTTCAATCTTGCCATGGGATGTGTGAAACTTTAATGTTATTGTAAATGGTTCTTTTTATCTTTATAATAAAGATCTTCGCTCATATATATTTGTATGTTAGGTATAGCTGGCCAAACGGCTGGACCAAATGAGCTAAAATTTATTGAGAGAACCCAAGGGTGCCAAGGCTAGGCATAGGCTAAACTCCTTATATTTTATTAACAATTCGAAACGGGTTCTTTTGAACCTCAATCTTATTGTTAAAGTACATATATATATATATATATTGGAAGCCCAGTTTGCGTAGGAAAATTCCAGGCAAAACTGGGTTCCTACGCTATTTTCTATATTAAAGATATTGTGTTTCTATCAGACAATAGATGTTCATTCACCACTATACATAGTCTAGACAAGATGACAAGTACTTGAATTCATATTGTTTCATGAATTCCATTTTATTGATGTGTCAGTTCTGGTATTGTTTGTTGTCTTGAAGAAAAGTTGCAAAGTTCCGGGCAAAAATCTATTCGATATCTGACTTCTGAAATCGGGAAAAGTGCAACATTTGCGATATTTCTTCTTGACTCGGTATTTCTAAATTCTACAATGGAGTTTTTGGTTTTGGTTTCTGTAAAAAGGGGTGATACAAAAACAATTGTTGGAAAGCAACAATTTTCATTGAAGCCCGATATATTTCATGATATTGGTGAAAAGTTTCAGACTTAATTTTTTTACAAAAAATTGATTTCAAACTTTGCACGTTTTTATTCCGAGTTTTATCTTCCGCAAATCCACTAAAAAAGGTTGAATGCATATTTGAAACTTTTTGAATGAATTGCCGGAGGGTAGGAATATGCTAAAACCTTGATCAGTGTATAATTTAATTCATGAAACACAGTGATATTTTGGATAAAAATTGCTCACTCCAATTTAGATATAAAGGAAAAGGTGAAATTTATGTGAAAATATTGGTATATACGAATTGGTGACGAAATGAAAATATTGTTATTGATTAACCATTAAACGATAATGTACTGTCGGACTTTATTGTTATTGATTAACCATTAAACGATAATGTACTGTCGGACTGTATTGTTATTGATTTACCATTAAACGATAATGTACTGTCGGACTGTATTGTTATTGATTTACCATTAAATGATAATGTACTGTCAGATTGTATTATTATTAATAAACCATTAAACGATAATGTACTGTCGGACTGTATTGTTATTGATTTACCATTAAACGATAATGTACTTTCGGACTGTATTGTTTTGTATTAAAAAAACAATTCAGAAACGAAATAAAACTCGCCAAAAATTGTCTAACCCTCATTGCAACCTGATGGCACTTAAACCTTTGGTGTTTAATTTTTGATTATTTTGTATAGTTTGAAATATCAAAGGTCTACAACATCGGGCTGCAAAGATTATGAAATTTGCGTTTTTGGTAGGCGTTCGTTTCCTTTCAGAAAAACTATAATATAGTTTTAGTCCTATATAGCATATATTTTGGAATATATATTGTGTATAGTTTAAACGAATTGAAAATATTTATTTAGAAATATGAAAATATTACTGTGAGGTTTCTGCAGACATTGTGCAGTCTTGCTTTAAATTGTATCACATCTCAAGAGACCCTAGGCCTTACAATTCTATAAATAAATATAAAAATATTATATTTTTATTCCAAAAATTTAAATTTTAAAATTTTTTGTATTTTTAGGAATCACACGCCCGGAGCAGGAATTATTAACCAAGTACCTTCTCAGTAGGATTTTAGGAGGTAATATTGTCTGTATTCCCCNACTTTTGGTTTGTTTAAATATGTAACTTTTTGTTTGTTTAAATATGTAACTTTTTGTTTGTTTAAATATGTATTTGTTTGTTTAAATATGTAACTTTTTGTTTGTTTAAATATGTATTTGTTTGTTTAAATATGTAACTTTTTGTTTGTTCTAGGAAAAGGAGATCTTGCATTTTCAGGAGACAGTTCAGGAGAAATTCAGGAGAGACAAGATCAGGATTCATCATCAAGTATCATCTATCCACAGGTTAGGGGTGGATATTTTTTGGGAAAATCGTGCCTCCCCCACTTTTGAAAATCATTCCATAAACTTTCCATAAAATTTCCATAACCATTCTATAATCTTTCCATAACCCTACCATAATCTTTCCATAACCTATCCATAAACTTTCCATAATCTTTCCATAATTTTTTTTATAATCATTCCATAACATTTCCATAACCAATTCATAATCTATCCATAGACTTTCCATACCTTTCCATATCCATTCCATAATCTTTCTATAACCTTTCCATAACCTTTCCATAAACATTCAATAACCTTTCCATAAACTTTCCATAAACTTTCCATAAACTTTCTTCTGTGTTAGAGAGTTGATAAACCTTTGCGTAAACTGTTGGACAAAGCTAAGGAAAATATTGACGTCATAGACTTCAGGAAATCAGGAGAGGATCAGGTACTGACGTACCATTCAGTCGCGTGCTTTATTGTATCTTGATATTTACAATGTACAATTTTAATTAGCGTCACCAAGGATGTAATGCAAGGAAAGTTATTTCAGAAGTGTACACATCTTTTGTACTGCAGTGTACTGTCTCTGGGCGGTAATGTAAACACAAGACGGATATCAAAGCCGGACATGTGATCCATCTTTCACATAAAAAAAACAATGAAATATTCTGATCATAGAAAACTATTATGTTAATTATCAAAATTATCAAAATTTAATGCTTGTAACCTCCTGGGATACTAAACGAACACTAATGCATCTACTCTTGTTTACAAATTCCGCCCAAAGAGAACTGGTTTCAATATGTACGCAGAGTATACACGACCGCAATTAACTTTCCTTGCAATACACCCTTGAGCGTCAGTAGGTTAACAGCTCTTTTGACTCAAAGATATATACTGTTCGATTTTGGATTAATTTTCAAAGAATAAAAAGCATGTTTAGTGATTTCCTTAATCCGTGGCAAAATTTTCATAGATTTTTAGCGTAAAAGCCTTGACCCTTATAATAAAGTTGCAAAGATGATGAGATTACAAAATAAGAGATTTATGTGAGAGCAGTCAATTCCTTTATAATTAAATTAAAAGTTTTGTCTACGCTTGCATAGAATTGAGAGCCTATTAATATATCATAGTTTACAAAGTTAAGAAGGAAAAGTGTGAGGAGGGAGCAGGGTAATTATAACATTCTAGTTTAGAAGTAGATTAAGTTAAAACTATAATATTACAAGTTTAAAGTTTGATTGGATCAGAGTAGTTGATTAAATCATTTTAAATAATTTAACATAATTATATACTAAAGTAAATGATAATATATGTTTAACATAACGCCCGCTTATAAACGTATGATTTGATTTTTTATTGTTATTGAAGACGCCCACGTGACCAATTTTTAAACATTAAAAAATTCTACTGACCCTTCATTCAACGAACGGCAATGCCCAGGTCACAACACTACCCTTGAAACGTTTTCTTATCAATATTGTGGAAAATATTGTCGGTTTTCTTGGTTTAAAAATTTTCATTCTGATAATATACATATGTTTTCCTGCAGTAAAAATACGTAAGTTACATTTGTAGAGAAACCACAGTTGAAAATAACCAATTTTCAAAATTAAAAACATGTATATCCAAGTCATACTTGATCAAACAAAACTTGAAGGGGTACTGTTGTGAATTGGCTACTGCCATCTTTGCATAAAGGGTCTAGAGCTGAGAAGTGTAACATATTTTAAAATTAAAATTGTATTTGTTAACATTTTTTACATTTCAGAATTTAAAAAAAAAATATTCATTTTTCAGTTGTATGAAGAGTATGTTAGACGTCCCAGAAACCAGGAAGATTTATCAGGGGTAAGTTATTTTCACGTAGGATTCACAACGGTACTATTTATACCATTAAATTATCTAAACAAAAGTATGGAGATAACTTTAACTGCGGCGTCTCTTAAAGACAAGTAAATTTGAAAATTTTGAAATAGAAAAGATTAAAATCTTCTTGACTTTTGACTTATAATTAACAACATCTAAAATCTTATTATTTGTACTTAATGAACTTAAAAATGTCAATAAAAAATGTTACTTGGAACATTCATTTCAAAGAACCCTACTAATTACTATTTTTAACTTTTTCAAACACATCTTTTAACGAGAAGGGGTGCGAGTTTAAAACCATTTAAAGGGACTGTAAAGGAAAAATGAAAAGGGGTATACAAATAGGGGCATAGCTAATTTACAACGGTTCTCTTTAAATCTTTACCTGATTTTCGTTTTTCTTAAAAATATTTTAATTTATGCAGTTCCTTTAACTCAACTAGTTATGTTCTAACAGTTCCTTTAACTCAACTAGTTATGTTCTAACAGTTCCTTTGACTCAACTAGTTATGTTCTAACAGTTCCTTTAACTCAACTAGTTATGCCCTAACAGTTCCTTTAACTCAACTAGTTATGTTCTAATAGTTCCTTTAACTCAACTAGTTATGCTCTAATAGTTCCTTTAACTCAACTAGTTATGTTCTAACAGTTCCTTTAACTCAACTAGTTATGTTCTAACAGTTCCTTTAACTCAACTAGTTATATTCTAACAGTTCCTTTAACTCAACTAGTTATGTTCTAACAGTTCCTTTAACTCAACTAGTTATATTCTAACAGTTCCTTTAACTCAACTAGTTATGCTCTAAAAGTTCCTTTAACTCAACTAGTTATGTTCTAACAGTTCCTTTAACTCAACTAGTTATGCTCTAAAAGTTTCTTTAACTCAACTAGTTATGTTCTAACAGTTCCTTTAACTCAACTAGTTATGTTCTAACAGTTCCTTTAACTCAACTAGTTATGTTCTAACAGTTCCTTTAACTCAACTAGTTATGTTCTAATAGTTCCTTTAACTCAACTAGTTATGTTTTAACAGTTCCTTTAACTCAACTAGTTATGTTCTAACAGTTCCTTTAACTCAACTAGTTATGTTCTAACAGTTCCTTTAACTCAACTAGTTATGCTCTAACAGTTCCTTTAACTCAACTAGTTATGCCCTAACACTGAAAAGATTTAAAAGAAAGTTTCTTGTTTCAAATTCTCTCCGGAACAAGAGCTCCAGAATTATTAATTCAGAAAGTATCATTCTTCCAACAAACTTTAACTTTTACAAACCATTTACATTCAAAACTCAACATTTCGTCATAAAAAAATGGCAATATAAAAAAACTATAAATTCTCCATGTAGAATTTTGTTGTATCTACATATATTGTATAGGCTGAACGACGAGAGAGATCAAGTTCTCCAAGTGAAGTTGTTCCAACCTTTCTCCCTTTCCCAGGAGCAGAGCCTTCTCAACCCAGTAGAACACAACAAAGTAAGATTTTATAATTATGTACAATGGATGAAAATGGGTTCTGTATAGTTAAGGCTCATTAGACTTTTAATCAGGACCTATAGTTTACCGTGAAGTAAGATTTAAAGGATTTGTCAACGTTATAAAAGTGATCCTTATAAAATACAACAAATTAGATTGTTCGACTTTATTTAAAGTGACCCTGTAGTGGAACTTAACAAAATAAGATTTAAAGGATTTGTCAACGTTATAAAGTGAGCCTTATAAAACACAACAAATTAGATTGTTCGACTTTATCTAAAGTGACCCTGTAGTAGAACTTATATAACAAAATAAGATTTAAAGGATTTGTCGACGTTATTTAAAGTGACCCTGTAGTAGAACTTAACAAAATAAGATTTAAAGGATTTGTCGACGTTATTTAAAGTGACCCTGTAGTAGAACTTAACAAAATAAGATTTAAAGGATTTGTCGACGTTATTTGAAGTGACCCTGTAGTAGAACTTAACAAAGTATGATATAAAGGATTTGTCAGCGTTATTTGAAGTAAGTGTGACCCCTGCAGTAAAACTTAATAAAGTAAGATTTAAAGGATTTTTCGGCGTTAGTTGAAGTGACCCTATAGTTGAACTTAACAAAGTAAGATTTAAAGGATTTTTCAACGTTATTTAAAATTATCCCTATAAAGCACAACAAAGTATGATTTAAAGGATTTGTCGGCGTTTTTTGAAGTAAGTGTGACCCCTGCAGTAGAACATAATAAAAAAATATTTAAAGGATTTTTGACATTATTTCAATTATACAACAGTAGAACATTGTAAGTAAGTCAAATTAAGTACGTCAAAGTAAGAAACAAGCCCCTTTTAATGGAATTGAGTCTTTATCACAAACTCAAATTTTCTGATCTCTATATCTTTGCAACCGGATGGTATACACCTGTAATATTACAAACTTAGATTATTTGGTCTAACAGAAATCATAGTTTAAAATATCTAAGGTCTACGACTACGACTTTGGGTTACACAGAGGTAGGGCACCCCAAACTAACCACTGTGAGAAGCTTTCGGTTTCTTCTATTTGAAATAAAACTTGTTTTAGTTTAAAATTCAACAATCTTTAAACTTACAAATTTGTTTATTTATACTTTTTCATTCAAAACGTATATACCGACAATAAAGTATTGAAGAAAAAAGGTTATAAAATTAATGGGTCAAATTATGATCGAAAGTCACAGCTTTCTGAAATATTAACATAACCAGTAATCCACGTGAGGGATTAGAAAATCAGAGTTTTTGTCTTCAGACTACAGAACATAATTAATTTCTGGAGAAAATAATCTTAGGTTTTCCGACACGTTCCTTGGCATACCCCATGCATCTGTTTGAATATTAATTTAGTCTAGTTAAATGTTCACAGAATATATTCAACTATTTTTAACACAATTTTAAGTATAGTAAATGTCAAGGTTAAAACATTAAAATACTAAATTACTAAGCTAGCTATATTTACTAGTATTCTAAAAAGTGTCGACTATTCTTTAAACTAATGGAATTTCAAACCCGATTTCTAAAAAAAATTTAATTTCCCCATTTTCGTGCTTTTTCATCTTTTATAGTTCGTTCTTCATTCAGCTCTTTCCAATTTTTCTTTTCTGAATCTTTATTTCTCTCTTTCAAATTTTTAGCAATGTGCTTTATTTTTTTCACACAAAGTAATTGAACCTTTGCCACAAACTCTAATTCTTTTATCCCTATATATTTGCAACCCAATGTCTTACACCTGTGATATTCCAAACTATGAATTCTGTTGAATTAAATAATCTAAGTGTGAACTATCAAAGGTTTGCACTAAAAGGTTGCAAAGAAATAGGGATATAAAAATTCAAGTTTAAAGCGATATTAAACTCTTTGATCCTTACGGTGACAATCTCTTTAACTAAAGTTTACATGTTCTGTCCCTTTAAGTAAGTTGAGAGAGTTCAGGAGTCTACATCATAGTTTTCAAAAGGAAATATTAAACTTTTTTGTTTTGCAGAATAATTTTAAAAGTTTAGATTATACGGGAGGGTAAACGAGTTCTTTAAAAACACAGTCTTTTCTTTACATGAAATTTTAAAATTTCTTTTTTCCTAGTTGAACGAATTTTCTCCTTTAAGCAAACCAATGCAGAAGATTTTTATTAAATGATTTTTTCATAGGTTTTGATGAAAAATTAGGGAACAATCCCTTTAAACTTTTATTTTTGAGACACTACATTGAATATAAATGATAATGTAAGATAATGTATACATTGTACAATTTACAGCGAGCAGGACCGGAAGTTTAATCTTTGAAACCGGAAGTAAGTTTCCGTGGTCCTTGGGGGAAATTATATTCCATGTTTTATATATAAACGTCCTTCAGTGTCATCCCACCTCATAGACTGAGGTCTTAGGGTCTAATCTTGGCTTCCTTTTGCTTTAATCAATTACCCCCCCCCCCTTCTCTTCACCCCATTCCCCAACCTGTCAAACTCTTCCCCCTTTTCGCTCCCTAGAAACCATAATGAATTACATGCTTCCGCACAGCATGATCTTGTAATTACTAATAGTAATCTGTCATGCATATTTTTATCCTCCCCCTTCTCCAATAAGTAGTAACCATTATGAATTACACATTTCCTTAAAGTATGATCTAGTAATCACTATAAGTAAGCTGTCATGTACATTTTTGCCCCCCCCCATAAGTAGTAAAAATTATGAGAATTACACACATCCTTGAAGCTTGATCTTGTTAGAACAGTTTTACATCAAAAATGCCACTTCACAGGGTCACCTAAAATTACGCCACAATCCCTTTAGAGTATGTTCTAGTAATGACTACAGTGTCATGCACAGGAATGAGTTTTTGTCACAAACTATGATTTTCTAATCTCTATATCTTTGCAACCCAATGCCGTAGAGCTTAGATATTTCAGACTATGAATTCTGTTTGAAATATCAAAGGTTTCCAACATAAGGTGGAAAAAATGTAGGTATTAGAAAATCAGATTTTGTTACAAAGACTCAATTCCTTTGCCCATCCATCACCAGGGTGCACATCATTCGAGAAACCCTTTCATGAATAAAAATTTGCGGCTTCCACCCCCCTTTTTACTTTTACTGTTTTGATTTAAAACTAAATAAACTTTTTTTACCCTATTCTCAATGTATTGTAAAAATGTGTGCCAGTCTGAGAAAAAAAACTTTTGACTGGGAGAGTAAGATTGACTGAGCTTTTTATCCACAACGTAAAATTCTAAATCGAAGGATTAGGATTTATTTACAAAGTGTGTGTATGAATCATACCAAGAGAAAATTGGGCAATCATTCTAAGTGAGGAGTAGCTGTGTCCGACAACTTAAAGAAATTGAGCCTTTACCACAATCTCTACCTTTGGAACCTGATGGTGTAAATCTTTGATATTTCAAACTTTGATTATTTGACTTAGTAGAATTCAAAGTTTTAAATATCTAAGATCTACTACATTGGGTTGCAAAGAAATCAGTGCAGGGGGCAACTGAGTGCGTTATAAACAAATTTTAATTTAACCTTTGTCCAATGTTCACTTACTTTAATCTTTTTAATCTATCAAGTTCATCTCATAAGGTTGTCATGTCTTGTAACCCCCATCAAACTGTCATGCTTCTCACCAATCATATCACGATCCCTCCCCTCCCCCTCACGTCATATTTAAATACATGAGACATGAAAATAAGATCTTTAACTCAAAAGAAATGAGTCTTTGTCACAAACTCAAATTTTCTAATCCTTACATCTTAGCAACTTGATGGTGCAAACCTTTGATATTTCAAACTAAGATGCTTTGATCTACCAGAATTCGTAGTTTGAAATATCTAAGGTCAACGGCATTTGGTTGCAAAGATATAGGGATTAGAAATTCTGAGTTCGTGGCAAAGACTCAAATCCATTAATTAACAATTCCATTAACTGTTGACAACTACATCTTGTAAACATATTTATATAAAGTAGTAATTAAACCTCCGATAATAACTCAAAATCCCTGGACCGATTTGCCTCAAATTTTGATTTAAGAACTTGTCAGAACCACGTTAATGTTCTTAGTTTGGTTCAAAATTTTAAATTGAGTAGGTTGACTTGAATAGGGAAAAGTCCAGGCAAAGCTGTGTTCCTACGCTAGTCTTCTAATTTAATCTATAAAGCAGAACTCCTTGTTGGTTTGTTTGAATGTCCGATCATAACTCAGAAAGCCCTTGAAAGATTTGCCTAAAATATTTTGATCGGGTATTAAACCTTAAAGTTGAGTTGGTTGACTTTTATAACGAAAATTTAATTTCCAGACAAAGCTGGGTGTCCTAGCTAGTATGCAAATATAAGTTTTTTACAAATGCACTCCCAAACATTTATATCGCAAACGAGCTAAATTTACATTCCAAAGTTTTTAAATATTCCTAATATATCCCTAATATATCCCTAATATATCCCTAATATTTCCCTAATATATCCCTAATATATCCCTAATTAATCGCTACTATATCCCTAATATATCCCTACTATATCCCTAATATATCCCTAATATATCCCTATTATAATCCTACTATATCCCTACTATATCCCTAATATATCCCTAATATATCCCTAATTAATCGCTAATATATCCCTAATATATCCCTAATATCCCTAATATAATCCTACTATATCCCTACTATATCCCTAATATCCCTAATATATCCCTATTATAACTCTTATATATCCCTAATTGTTTTTATGTAAAATTTGCCTGTCTGCTGCTAATATATTTTATAATAAACCTTTCAAACCAATTTAATCCTATACAACATTTGATCATAATTCAATTCGACCTTCATACAAGACCCCTCTCAAATCTGTCTGAATGTTATGCATTGGATGACCTAGGCTCCTTCAGATATTCAGATATTGCACAATAAGCTGTAATCTAGATCCTAGATTCTTATACACAGATCCTATATCTTTTTTATACATTTTCTAGCTTCTAATAACT